TTTTGCACTACTTGAAGTTTATGCATAAATTAACACCAATGCTTGTTGTCTGTACGATTGCTGTAACACTATTCAACTAAAAACAATGCCCCAACGGCGTTTTGAAGATAAACACATTGTCAATCATTTGTGAAAATTTCAAAACAAAAGGTCAAAGCGTCTAGGCGCTATTTTTTTTTAAAGTTCTGGAATGTGCACTAAAAAGAAGCTGAGATTATTGCTAATTTGCATAACAATTCACTCAGTAAGAAGTTTCCTAATGCTCATAATTAAAATGGCTGTTACAGTTTCAAATTTAAATGTATTACCGTTTTGTAAAAAGTTAAATACAATGCATATTATGGAGATCCAGTCATTTCTTTTCTTCACCATGTTTTCTTTTTTATTATTTATGTACAGCCTTGCTACATCTTGCTAAGCATTCAAAAGAGATAATTTTGCACCTGTTATCTATATTTTTAAATCGTTTTTTGAGTATGTTCCACTATTCACAAAATTTCAACAGTCTACAAAAGCTTTTCATCATTAGAACCAAATCAATAAAATACAGTTTCAATGGTGGCCAACTACCATAATTAACTGACGTATACACACCAGATGCCTCAACAAAAGAATTAAGATTATAATCTGAGAACATATTGAGTATGGTAGCTTACCTTTGGTGATCCATATGTTTTTGTAAAGGGACTTAAAGAATCATATGCTTCATCTTTATCATCACTGACCATATTATTTTTTGTTTGACGTTTTTTATCAGTTTTCTCGAGAAAGTTGGCATGTGCAATCAATTGGGCGAGTTCATCACAAGATTCTGAACTTTCTTCCATCTTTTCTTTCTACGAAATAAAAAATAACAGCATTCTTATAGACAAGACTAAGTATTGATTCAATAAACAATCCTCAATATATTGTATAAATATTGAGAAATATTCACCAGGCTGACTAGTAATCTGAACCATTGAATTCTGTTTTAAATTCTATGGAGGTGAGAAATTATACTGAAACCATACATGTCAGGTGGTTCTAATTGCCCTAATTCTGAATCTTGTGACATTAGGCTTAACATGCTTGATGTAAGTGTGTACATCATCAATATCTGCACGTACAAAGTGAGCAAGCACAGATTCATGTGAGCAAGGTTGCACACACACACATTAATGCTGGATTGCATGTGAGTTCTGTTGAATATTCATAAATTTTACAAGTTTCCTTTTTTACATGAAGTGGAGTTTATGTTATATCCTATGAATCCCATACCTTTGCCTTCACTTGAAACACTAGAAAATGGCTAAATGTGTAGTCACATACTGTACTTCTCTTGTCACATAAATTAGTTGACCCCTAAATTCACAAGAAGCCAAGACCACATAACAATCTACCAGGGGGTAATGATTGGTTCTTGAGATATTGTTGGAAAAGACACATACATTGTATGTATACCATAATACAGATTAACTGAACTGCAATGACTCCTATTATGAGCGTTGCACAGCAACTAATGGTTCTCAATTGTTCAAAAAGAATGGTTGTGACTTCTATTAGAAATGCAGCTTCTAATTAAATTGCTAATAGGACATCCTCCACCAGTTACTAAGCTTGTAACTATTGCAAATAATTAAGATAAAAATATTAAGTTACTGAAGTTCCTGTGAACCTCTAAACAAGCAGCCTCTTAGCACAGATAGCAATGATATCATCACAAAATAAACAAATATGAGAGCGGTCCACCTGTAGTTCCTTTATGTATAATATCAAATCAGTCAGACTTGTGGTTTTTAACAAAAAGTCGAAAATATCAGTCTTTTACCAAAAATACCAAACATATTCATCAAAATTAAAGAATTGAAGAGATCATCTTGAAATGAACAAATCTGAGAGAAGTCAAATCAATCAGACTTGCAGTTTTCAACAAGACAAAAATATGACTTTTTACTTAAAATGACAAAAATATTCATCAAAATTAGAAAATTTAAATAAACAAATCTGAGAGAGGTCTACCTGTAGTATAATATCAAAGCAATGTGGCTTGTGGTTTTTACCAAGAAGTTAAAAATATCATTTTTACAAAAAATGACAAAAATATTCACCAAAATTAGCAAATTGAAGGTATCATCATGAAATGAATACATTTAAGTGAGGGCTACCCAAGGTACATATACACTAAGTATCAAAATCCTGTACAGTGTATAATAAAATCAGTTTATTCATTGAAATCATGTGTCATTTTGCATCATTTTTTCCTGTTCAGAGCAGACAATAAATTTTAGGTACAGTGTACTGTAATCAGAACCACACAATTTGTTGGTGCTTTATATCAGAAAAAAGTCTGTTCTGGTCTGTTCCCTTACAAAATGACTAAAAATACACTGAAAGCATCACACAATGATAAATAGAGAATGCCATACTTAAACAATAATGAATGAACCCAACAACCCATAATGGGTGAAAGCTCACTTTACACTAAATACACCAAGAACCTAGAACACTTTCTTGGGGTATTTTTTCTGATTTTTAGGAATCTGATACACGCATTTCACAATTTGTCTTTTATTTAGTTTTATGTCGCAATCAAGATGGCGACCCCCCGTATTGTAAATATCGCATATATTTTATTATCACTTCCCCCTGTGCGCCAGCTGACTGTGGGTTTAATGTTAAATGTTTTTTTGAATAACTTTAAGAAGAATTTGATGTCAGTGTTCCCTTTTAATATTTTGTTCAATATAAACGCAGCTTTGCATGCTTTCTGTGATGTTTTCTTGCTTCTAAATAATGTCCAGAAGATGAGATTATTACCCCAAAATAAGTATAACTTGTCAGACAGCTAATAATTGTATTTATGTAATAAAAGTATTTCAGATGATTTTAATGATTTATTCCTAAAAATTAAAATATTTGTTTTAGATAAATTTATTGTCAGGTTCCATTTGGAACAATATATCTTCAATATATTTATCAAACTTTGCAAACCAGATGCTGTTTGAGACATAAGAACTAAATCATCTACATATAATAATGATGATACAGTTTTATGAAGAGATTGAATTGGACTTATCACATAGAAAATGGTTCTCCGGGCGTCTCTTATAAATACTCTATCTAACCGCTGGATTGAATTAGCTAAATTATGAAAAATTCATAGAAGATTGGGCGAAAATCGGTCATTTTTGGCCTCAACGTTTTTTTGCTCGGAAACGCAAGGGCGATAAGACTCTATTTTCAAGAACGCAGTCGCTCGGATCGGACGGTTTCTATTGTTTCGAGTCTGTTGTGTGTCTAGAAACATAACAACTTTGTTTTTTGGTGATATAGAACATGCTCTGTT